TTATAATTTGTTTAATAATATAACTTATGTTATATCATTAATTTTTAAAAAATTTTAGTTCTAAGATTTCGTTTTTTTTTTTGTCACTACCTAAAGAAAAGTTTCTTTTGACAAAGTAATCTTAATTTTTTTTTATATAAAAACGTAGAATAATAATAAATGGGATAAAAATTTAGTATCAAAATTTAAAATTAATGACATAACATAAATCACCTTAATTATTTAAAAAATTAAAAGATAAATCTTATGTTATTTATTAATTAATTTTTTTTATTTTTTTACCTATAATATTATATCCATTAATTGAATTAATAATAATGATATAAATCACATTATTAATTTTTAAACATTCATCTTTCCCATCGATACTCAACACAAAGTAATGTGCATTATAACAAATAATAAAAAATAAAACCCTTAATATTAGAGTAGTTTTTGCACTATTAATAAACATAAAATATGTAACTTGTGCATGATAATTTATAAAATTACTCTCAATTTTTTATAATTTCTATAATAGCATATAACATAATGGTCTGTTTTGGGAGTTAGAGAATAAGTTTTTTTTTTTTTTGTTGATAAATACAATGATTAGTAGGTTAGTATTGTTAGATATTAGTAATTAAGGATTTGATCCTTAAACCGAATAAACAATTCACCTGTTTCAATGAGGTGCACGGCCATAAAACCGCTTGGTGAAGTTCGAGTTACAGAATAAGTCGAACTTCAGAAAAGCAAACGTCTCCCATCAATGATCAATTTTATATAACCCAGTGCAATGTAAATTGCACAGAACATTTTTATATAAATCTCTTCCTCATTATTACTGTCTACTTTAAGGTTGGAATAATCATAAATTTAAAGTCTTGCTTCTTTATTTATTGAGAAAGTAATTAATACTCAATATTATAATAGTAAATAATCAATGATCTGTTGATCTAAGTGGAAGAAATTCAGCTTTCTTTAAGTTAGATTTTGAATTCGAATTTTGTGAATAGAAAAATATATGTTGAGAGAGTTTTCCCCTAATAAAATATAACACGACTTAATTTTTAAATTAATTGAGATGTAAAATTTTAAATTAATCGAGATATAACGAAAATATCATATGCCGAAGGTAATAAAAAAAAATTATAGCAGTGAATAAGTTAATAACAAAGAAAGCCAGTCTGCGGTCTGCCTATCCAACTATTTTTCGCGGCCTTCCTATCTATCCAACTATTAATATGGAATGATTGTCTGTGATTATAAATGTATATAAATATATACACATATATATAAGTTTATGATTTACTCGTTTATATGTATTTTTAAAAATAGAAATCACATCTATTCATGTGACTATAAGGTATTTAGTACCACGTTAGCTTTATAGCATGACAATTCAGTAAGTCATGGTAAATAAGACCGAATTCATGTGAAATAACTTAATTACTATAAAAGTTATAAGATTTACTTATAAATAAATTTTATATATTATATTTATATAAAATTTTGATTATTAATTTTTTAATTTTTAATA